AAAATCCCTAGTCGACAATTGGATTGAAAACAGTGTGTTAGTATTTTTAAGAGTAATAAAGCTCTGATATTTTTGCTTTTTTTTTGTCCTTGCTACTTTATATTATTCTCATGCATGTAATTTTGTCACTTATCTCTGGAACTTCTACAAATGGAAATTTTTACTGTGTGGAAACTTTTTTTTAGAACCCAGAGAGAGCTTTTCAATTTTTTTTACATTAACGGTTAGAATAAATGAATTTTCAATCTCCAGTATTCTCAGTACTAACATACCTGGATTTGCTCTTTCTCTCTTTTCTTCTTTTTGAAATTTCTGTATATCATTGAGGTGTATAACTTGGAAATTAAAGGGATAATCTTCATGAAAAAATATGTGTATGTTTTGTGTAAAGTCTTTTTAAAAACAGTTGATTATGAATACCTATCAATAATCTAGTAGCTTTATATGCTAAACAGAAGGTTCAGAATAAAAACTACTTTCCTGATCAACCAACAAATAGATATTGAATAATCCAGAAACGTAAAAAAAGGCTACTCGCACATTGGTGTGCATTGGTGCAGGGGTGGAGATTGAACCCAAGGCCTTTTGCGCTACACTACAGCCCAGCTCTCTTTTTTTTTTTTTTTTTGAGAATATATCTTGTAGGACTTGTAATCCTTCTGACTCAGCCTCTTAAGAATGCTGGGTGTACAGGCTTTGTGTAGGTTAGGTTTTAGCACTGATCATCTTAGTACCTGTATTTAAATCAGTTTGTTTTCAGTGTTATAGAACTAAACTGGCTAAACTGTAAAGTGCTGCTTTACTATTAACATGATTTCTGATTTTTCATTTTGATATGCATTCTTTACAAATACAGATGTTGCTTTAAGTCAGATGGAATTAGCCAGTTGCATGAGGATTCCTCTTCAAGACATAGATTTGCTTATTTTCAGTGTTTCAACTCTATGTGATTCATTTGCATTTTAATGCAATAAATAGCAATATCATATCTTTATACCATGAGTAATAGACATATGTACATTATACCGTAAAAACTGTATTTTCAAATTTTTGTTTTGACACAGTTTCATCCTCAAATCCTATTTACCAATAAGGTTAATAGTCTTTTAACATTGTCTGTGGGGACCATAGGAAAAAATAAACATGCTATAATCAGAAATTTATTTTTAAATAATTGATAAGCATCAATTGAATTATGGAATTCTCAGCATACTTTCCTGGACCTACAATCTAGACAGTACCAATGTTTTAAACATAGAACTGAAAACTCAGGGAAAAAGGTTCCTCAACTTGAGATCTTCTCTCCAGATCTCCATTCTTTGGAGTTTCCATGTGTGACCTGACGAACTTGGAACCCTTGAGATTCAAATGTAGGTAGGTAAGTGTTCACACCAGCGCATGCGTTGATTGCCTTATATCTCTTGTATATGCATCTGTATTGCACCCCCTCAGTGCCTTTCTTCCTCTTCCCATAGATCATCTAGGGCCTCTGTTGTCTGTATTTTGGTTAGTATGTGTTTGTGATGTGTGTCAGGAGCAGTATTTAAAAAATCTTCAGACATTTATGACATGGTGTTGTCTAAAGACTGTCTTTCACACTTTGTGTTTGCCGTTTTGGGCTTGGGGTACATTTTTGTAAGTTGCTGTTATTTGTTGAGCTCTGATAAACATTCCCCTGGAGTTACTACTAGTCTTTGTTGATGGATGCCAGAGTCTTAGTCTTGTAATTGTTTCATGCATTCTCTCCAGTGTGTTTAGAGAATGTGAATTATTTCTGGTTGTAAGAATTTCTTCCTGTTAGCCATATTCCTTTAAAAAAAAAAAATCTTGATTTCATTCATGATAGTATGAATGTCCTTTATTATTCTTTAAAATTTATTCAAAAACATGATCAAACTAGTCATTTGATTCTGTTCGTAAGAATTAATGCCAACTTACCCCACACAAATAAGATCCCTTAATTTTAAGAAAAATTTTTTAAGTTACTTACTGGTAACATATTAAATTACAACTTAAATTTGCGAAGCTAACTAATTATGGAACATTCTCCTTGGCTCAAGTAGAGTTCCTGTTTACATAAGCAAGATAAAAAGATCAGATGCTTTTTTAAGATAATTTCTTTCAAAATATCTGTGCACCAAAATCTGGGATTCTATCATGCTTTGCTTTTTTTTTTTTTTTTTTTTTTTTTTAAGCAATTATCTGTGTTTTGGAAAGAAAACTAGAAGCTATGCCAAGGGTGAGTAGAAGTTTTCTTCCCCTCCTTACCATTTCTCATAAAAAATTAAATAATCCTTTGAATAGTAATTCTTAAATTTTGGTCTCTGTGGCTCCTCTTAGACATTTAAAATTATTGCTGAAGATCTGGAGAAATTTTGTTTTTGTATATGGTTATGTCTGGTAGGGTCAGGGAGATAGTTCAATGGTGCAAGCACCTGCCTGGTTATGTCTGGTAATATTTAGTGTACTAAAAATTAGATTTTCAAAGTAGTGCATCTTTTAAATTACCAAGTGTTTTAAGTAATGAAAATATTTATATGCAATTTTTTAATTGCTGGAAATAGTATCCTGTTTTATGATGAAGAATACAGTAGTTAGCATAGTTCAATGTTGTCCTGGTTCAGGCCAACAGGCCAGCAGTTTTGCCATTCTTTTTACATCATCCAGAGAATTTTGACTTCCTGATCTTCTGAATGCATTTCACTCACTTTGAGAATCATATTCTAGGATGCCTCTTACTCCACAAAAGGAAAAATTGTATCAGTATGTTTGAGTGAAGATCTTTTTTTACTCTGCACCTTTATTTTCCAGGGAGAAATTTGGGGGTGCAATGTAAAAACAAATTTAGAGTTTGTTGTATCCATTGTCATCATATAAAGATATAAAAGAAAGCACGCGATTAGTCAAAAAAAGCTTACCCAGTAGGGCCATTAAATATTTTTCCCTTGTGTGTGGTATGTGTGTTGTATGTGAGTATATAATTAATTTGGCTCCTGAATAGTTTTAAAACATATTTTCATGAAGTAACCTGACTTTTATGAATTATGGCAACTTAACACTATTTGCCATTTGGCCATGCTGCTTTTCCTCCTGATTTGCTACACTTTCAAATGTTACTGGTGCAATTTGTATGCCAGAGATTTTGTTAAGCACTGTAACATTTCTGAAAATTTTGCCCTTCTCTAAAAACCAAAAATTTTTAACATTTTAAAGGCAGCTCAAGATAGTGGTTGGGGTGCCAAGTTAAGCAATTTTGAGGAGCATCTTCTAAGTGACACTCTCCTGTTATCTACTTCATAAAATGTATTCCCCTGATGTCCCTAGACTGTTGGATTTTTATGAAGTTTGTACCAACAGTACTGAGGGGGTGTGTGATGCTTACATATATGCAGACAGAGAGCAGAGTTTGACTCACATTCAATGCATGCGCTAGTGCTCACGCTTACGTACCTGACATTTCTAATGATTCAGCAGCTCTGCAGTTATTGATGAGCTAGTCAAAAATGAATACTTAAAAGTACTGCTAAAGAACAAGGATATGCAGAGGAGATCCACTAATAAAGAATTCTGTTTACTGGTAAGTAATCATGATTCCTAATCTGGAAAGCTCCTTGGTGCATGGTCATTTTACGCACTATATTCATAATGCAAGTATTCTGCCCCTGTAACATACAGGTATAACAATATCATCTGTAACATAAATATTTTGGTTGTCAGTATTGTGAATTATTTGTCGATTGCTATGTTGTATATTCAAGAAAAAAAATTGTATCACTGTAGTAAAACAAATTTGTTAGATATGTATTCTTTTTAACTCCAATTAGAATCAGCTTCATAATTGTGTTATAAAATTTAAAATTACTTTATTCTATTTGAACTCTAAATGTCATTTTTCCTTTTTCTCAGGTTTCTCTTACATTCCTGTTTTGTTAATAGGCCCCATGGCCCCCAACAACCAATCAGATAATTCTCTGTAATTATACATCTACTATTTTTCAGGAACAATAAGTTTCTACTGGCTATTTCTTCAAACCTCACTCTAAAAGCCAGGAGTAGTTAACAGCAAAGACTACCAGGCTGCTGCAGCTCTGCCTTTATGTATTCTTTTCTGATAATCACATGCCTGCCCTGTGAAACATTTATGCTATGGAGGAAATATATTTTGTAAGGAGTTCTGGCTTTAGATTTCAAATAGGTAACTTTAAAAAATGTTTTTTTCTTCTTAGCTTCTTAGAGGCTGGACTTCTGGTTTTCATTTTGGTTAGGCTGTGCTCAACCTTGTTACAGACGTTTTATTGTAATTGTCCATGAAGAGCCACAGTTGAAATCCAAGGCATGTTTAAAACCTTGAAATCAATTAGTTGCTCAGAAAATGAAGGCAGTGATGACAAAGTCATGTTGACTTCATTTTTTTATTTCAAGCCATCCTTTTCACTCAGATAGATGATCTATCACTTATAAGTAAAACTTTGAAAAGAAAAAAAATAGGTAACTCATTTTTTTCCTTATTAAACTCCGTTTCTGTCCTGGCAGTCATCAACATTCTGCTGGTAAATACTCTAAATTAAACAATTTTCGTATCATGTACTGTTCAATTTTTATTATGAAGATACTGTATTTAAAAGATCTTAGGATTTTTGTTTCCTTTCTTGGTTTTTACATGCTGTTTTTCTTAATCTTTTCATATGTTCTGTGACTTCTTAGAAGAAAATGTTACTTTGTCTAACCTTTTCATTTAAAATCTAATGGCATTATTTAATTATTTATATATCCTAAATCTATTTTTCGTTTCTAAATTTTTTTGGTCATAGAAAAGATTCAAATCTCTCCTGAACTAATTAGTATATTCTAACTGTTCCAAGTTAATTTTGAGTGAACTTCATTTTCTTCTACTGTAATGAAGTAAGACTCAGTTTGTACTAAAGAAGATACGTATTTCCTTCTTATGGTGCTATTTGATTTGTGAACATTTGTCTTCTTCTCTTTTTCTTTTCTTGCAGATTCCCTTCAATCACAGCTTATCAACATGGGTGTCATCCCTACCTTAGTGACATTACTAGGCATCCACTGCCACAATGCAGCTCTCACAGAAATGTGTCTGGTTGCATTTGGTAATTTGGCAGAACTTGGTAAGTTCTGGTCCTGAACCACAAGTAGTATTAACTTACTAATGTACTAACAATTTATGCATTGACATGGAATCCACTTAGATTATATTACTTTACTAAATTAGGTATTTGAGATATTTGTTTTAACATTTTTAAAAAGTAGTTTCAATTAGCTATTATGATTGTGTTTATAGTTGGAATGGTCTTGCTTATTTAAGCATTAACATTTAGGGGTTTTCAGTATGTACTCTCTAGCACCCAACAAAGTTTTTTAAAGTTTACAGTGTATATTATTTAATGGAGATGAGTATTTTAACTTGACTTCAGTATTTTTAACCTGAAGAACGGTCTTGAAAGTGAGTTGTATGTTCTGGGAAAATTAAATTACAATTTATTACATTCTGCATGTATTATTTGTTTATAAGATGAAGAGGTTCTTTCCCTTTTCATAAAATCACAAAAAGTAACATGAGTTTTTCATATATTTATTACCTCACAACAATTGAGAGAAATCCTTGGAAATTAGAACATGGAAACAGACTGTTGCTCAGACATCAGACCAATGCTGGAGACACATGAGCACTCTCAATTTCTGTTTTACTTTTTATTCTTTTTTCTCCATTTCACCTCCCTTTATTCTGTCCTTAGCATGATTCAGCAGAGAGGTACAATTTATGGTTTGAATTTACCCCACAATTATGTCCAGAATAAATTACTGTTTTATCATTTATATTTTTGTTATAACTATGCAGTGTTTTTATTATAACTATGCAAAAAACTATACAATAAGTATAATTGAACAGTGCTATTAATTATCTCCATTTTATAAATAAAATCAGTAAGTCTGTAATACTACTTTTTCTAAATTCATGTCCCTGCATGCTACACCCTACACACTACACAGTGCTACTTTTGTTTTGACTTCAAGCTTAAGACAATATGAGTATTTACCCAAGTTGTTTTTAAATATCATTTTTATTCAGTTGATTTTGTTGTATTGCTGAATTTTTTCTTTTCTGTTTTTCATTTTTTATTTTTCCCCTGCTTTTCATATTGTCTTGATTTACACAGTTGTCCCCATCAACTGTGAAACCAAGAAGAAATAAACATTCCTTTATTATTTCACAGTTTTTTCCCATTATTGAAAGGAAATGTGAAAGGTACAATAGATAAGGGAGTGAACCTGTTCAAAAGGAAGGAATTACTGAATTGAGGAGGAAAAGAGAGGTAGTGAGAGAAAGAGATACATCCATGTATGTTATATATTGTTTTAATTTTTTTCTTCCAATTTACATACATATATCTGGTAATATGAACAATAGTTGAAGGACAACACTATGCATTGCAACAAATACTGTGAAATTCATACTTGTTAAGTGAAATTCTGTATCACTTGTAATGTTTTTGTTTTAATACTATTTTGTACTCCCTTTAAAAAATAAAAAATTTAAGAAAATTCTGGACTGTGTGTCCAGAATAGCTGGTAGAAATAAAACAGAAATCAATTGTAATCACATTATTGAGAGCATCAGCTTTTTTTTTTTTTCAAGAAATACAAACATGAGTAACTGAAATCCATCTGAATTTGCCTTCAACCCAATAGTTTCTTAGAACTGCACTGTATATAGTACAGTAGGCACAAACTACATGCAACTTTTGAACATCAAAGTACAAATAATCTAAATTGAGCTATCATGCAAGTAAAAACTATATGATGGATTTTAAAGACAGTATGAAGAAAGTAATGCCCCCTGTCATGTCAGTATTTTTATATTGTTTATCAAAGTGATAATATAAACTTACTGAGCAGAATAAAATATAATAAAATTGATTTTGCTTGTTTCTCTTTACTTTTATTGTGAATATAAGAAAATTTAAAAGTATATATGTAGCATCATTTTTTCATTTTTCCCAACTTTTCTGTTGGACACTGGTGCTCTAGGAAATAAATTCTACAACACAGTTATCCTGTACCCTGTAATGGTCCCTCCACGTTTTAAGGGGTGGAATGGTATTGGGAAATGAACTCACAAATTCACACTTGCCAGACAGGAACTGTTAAGCTACATCCCCAGGCTTCTCCACCTTTGAAGTTTCGGAAAATACATAGAAGAAAGCAAAAGCTGATGAGGTTTGTCTTACCTAATCTTAGAAAAAGTCAGTACCAAATAAGGAAATGATGATCTTTAAATAGGCTCTGCCGTATGAAAATTTATTTGCTGAGAATCATTTTACTTCTTGTATGATTATGTGTGTAAATCTTGTAAGTACTTCAGGTCCAGGAACTTTTGAGAATTCTTCTTTAACCTCATGGAAAGGGATTTAAATTGTTAGTTCACTGTACTATAATAAATTGTTTTCCTTCATTCCTCCAGTGAGAACCAAGGCAAAATATAATTTATAATTATTATATGTCCTTTGAGGGAAGTAAATGTACGAAGAATGATAGTAATGGGAGAGGGTAGTCCCTGTGAGAGTCTGCACTTTCATTAAGTAAAGGTCCTAGATCTGTTTTAAATTTTACCTTGATAGCAGCAGCCCTATGAAGTAAAGAAGTTCTGATCTTACATTTAATCCAGCCTGGTGATTTATTTAGTAATATGAATTCACATTTATATAGTAGAGCCAGGGACATAGCTCAGTGGCTTAAGTGCCTGACTAGCACATGCAAGGTCCTGACTTCTATCTGTGGTACTAAAAAAACTAAAAGCATTTATGTAGCAGAAAAGCTTTTTTTCTAGGATGGGAATTTATGAAAGACAGTTTATTTAAATTATATAGACAAGAGCTGGCTAGATAGCTCAGTAGTCTAAGCGTCTGCCTAGCAAGTGCAAGGACCTGAGTTCAACCCTGGTACTGCATGCAGTGCTGGCCACTGAAAGCAGGCATGGTGGTGCATACCTGTAATCTCAGTGCTGGGGAGGCTGAGACAGGAGGATCACTGAGTCTGAGCTGCATATCGAGACCTTGTATCAAATAAATAAATAAATTTTTAATCAAAATACATCATGTAGAGAAATTGTACATTTGAATCATATCATTCAATATGCAAAATTTTTTAAATCTCTATTTGCTAAATGTTAGAAGTGTTTTGTTGAGAGACTACATGCACACTTACAGACCAATAGTTTACAGCCTATGATTTCTCAGCAGTGTTTTTATTAAGCCCTGTAGATTTCCGGGATTACTATAAACATGGGATTGAAAAAGTAAAAGAAGCGCTGGGGAGATAGCTCAGTTGAATAAGTGCTTACCTGGCAAGTGCACCTGGTGCCGCCAAAAAAAAAAAAAATTAAGAAGGAAGAAAAAAGAAAAAGTAAAAGAAGTGTTTCAATATTGAATCCAGTCATCTTAGTCTTGGGGTCAGGGGCAAAAAGTGAAAGGTTTGTTGGAAGAAAAAAACCATAGAAATAAAGTACAAGTACTTGTTTCATAACTTTTTCATAGGTTCATCTCTGCTTACCATCCCTTTCTAGACATTAATATTCTTTGAGATAGCCAAACTTTTTAAAAGCAAATCACCTTGTGTAAACTACTTTTCAGTTTTATATCTTGTTTTTCTGTATAGTACATGGCACATTTTACTTATTAAATGAATGTTACTGTGGGGAGATCAAAACATTATAAGCAGCTGGAAAATGGAAGTTTTAACTGGACAAGTAAGAAAAAATAATTTCAGAACAGAAAACAGCACATAGATATTGCAGATGTAGGTTGCTCTATGGTAGAGTGTGTGGCTAGCATACCTTAGAAACTAGATTCCATCCTGAGCACTACAGAACACACAGCATAAAGCACAGGGTATTGGTGTAATGCTGGCCTGTCAGAGCACATGAAAGGTAAGCAGACAGCTTTGCCTACCTTTGTGTTTTCCACAGTAAACTAGATTTTTCCTACAGTTATGTTAGTTTTTGCCCTGTTCCATAATTGCTTCTCCTTTTCCACTAAATGCCTACAGATTTCTGCTCCTTGGGATCTTTGCTTTCTGACCATTTTGGTCCTCATTCTCACCTTTGTCAATCTCATTTGCTTCCAGTTGTGGGTGGGTGGGTTTGTTGTTGTTGTTTGTTTCTTGTTTTTTTGCTATGTTAGGGGTCAGATTCATGGCCTCACACATAATAAATAAGTATTGTGCTATAGAACTACACTGTCAGAACTCTTCATTTATGTGAGAAATTAGCATTTTTAATGCTGCTTTTCTGGAGTAAGGAAGAGTTTGGAGCTGCTGAAGAGGTAAGAGGGAATGTATGAAGAATTGCCCTTTGAATAGCAATGTGGGGTTCGTGTATAGTAGAGGGCTTGCTTTGTGTGCACCAAGTTCTAGATTTGATCCCAGCATCACACAACAAATAGTCTTGCCAAGAACAGTGCAGAAGTGTAACAGTGCTGAAAATTAAATGGTGATAGCCTTTTGCCATTTAAATGCAATCTATGGCAAGCGCAAGGGCCTGAGTTCAATCGCCAGTTCTGCCAAAAAAAAAAAAAAAGGACTCATATTAAATGCCATCTGTTATGAATTTTTTTTCTTTGGCTAAAAACCTTGAAACTATGCATTTAGGACTTAGTAACTTTATTCTTATTATGGTTACCTATATGTTATGCTAGTAAACACCTTTTATAGCTTCAACTATTCTTGGTTCAGAACATTATCGCTATAGCCTTAGACTTTTTTTTTTTTTTTTCAGGCGCATTAAGAAATCAATTTGATTGTTTCTATATGTGAAGAGCATTTGTATTAAGCAGTGGTACAAAATGACCAAGTATTGCAAATAGTAGAAAACAAGTTTCTGGGTTTATTTTGTTTAATCTAAATTTTTTCCCTTTGTCTTGCAGAGTCTAGTAAAGAACAGTTTGCCAGCACGAACATTGCTGAAGAGCTGGTCAAACTCTTCAAGAAACAGGTAGAGCATGACAAGAGAGAAATGATTTTTGAAGTTCTTGCCCCATTGGCAGAAAATGGTAAGAAAATAAATGCATCCCTTTGATTCTGGATCATGTAGATTTTTTTCAGGTTTTTTCCTAAAATTATTTGTCAATTTTTATCTTAAAATTTCTTTATTATTAATGAGTTGCTAAGCATTACTTTGCTATTTCTTAAGCTATATTATGTCCTCCATAGCTGTTATCTGCGTTGATGAAAACTATTTTTCAAGTTCCTTTGAGTCTTAGCAAGCAGAAATATTTCTGTTGTTCTAATCTGAAAAAGTTCAATCTGGTCTGAACTCTACTTCTGTACTCCTAAAGAAAGGGAACTAACAGTTGGAAAGCCCATAAACAGTGAAAATATTTGTAAACCATTTTCTTGTTTGGACAAAAACATTACAAATCAGAGAAAACAATCAATCTAGGGGCCAGAGAGATGGCTCAGTAGAATAAGCGCATCCCTGGCAAGTGCAAGAGTCTGAGTTCAATCCCTGGTTCCACCAAAAAAAAAGTAAGCTCAGTAGAACAAGCGCTTCCCTGAAAAAAAAAAAAAAAGGTGTTATAAATAATATTTACATAGAATGTCCAACACATAATCAAAGAGGACTACCCACATGAGAAGACAAGACACTGTAAGCAAGAACCAACACAAAAAAAACAGTTTTAAGGGCTGCAAGGAAAGCCAACATTTTGGCTCTAGCCTTCCAGAGTCAATTAAGACTCAGGACATATGAGAACTTGTACTGTAACATCATGTAACTCAGTTGTGCCTCAGATTTTCTGATCAAGGAGATTATGGGGCTAAAGAGGAAAGTGATCAATGATGTAAAGTATGCCTAAGGAGAGTCACATGGAGAGAAAACATTCTCTCAGACTTTCACAGAGAGCATATTGGCCAAGCAATGGCCATGCCTTATCCCCATGGCTGACACTGACAAAGGATCTACAATCTGAGGCACGGGGTCTCAGGATAAATCCTGAGGGCATTTGACCTTATCAAATCCAAAAGCTACAATTCTTGTTACATAGGTCTTGTTTTATCTTGGTCTTAACCATCCAGCAAAAAAGTATAAAAACGAAGTATAAGAAGTAAAGCCATGCTGTTATGTTGAGCTGTAGGGGACTCAGGTCAACAGCTTCTGACATTGCCAGTCAAGCAGAAGACCCAATACTATTATGGACTACTGGACTATTTTGGAATGTTTTTTGAGTTCACACACCTATAATATTTAACTGCTGGAACTAAACAAAAAGAGGGGATACAGATGAATGACCATTTTGTATCTATGTATTCAAAATGGTTAGGATAGTTATATAGCTACATTCTCTTAATTCAGTGAATAGAGTGATTTGTTCTAATAGTATTTGTAAATAGGATATTATGTCTGCATCTTGTACAACAAATAACCACTAGGAAGACAATATGCAATGTGTTAATTATTGGACCTGTCCTACCAATTTGATTTGAAACTGTCTCATTGCTATATATTTCTCAATAAAATTATGAAAAAAAAAAAAAAAAACCAGCACAAAGAACAAACAGCAGCAAATCCTCAGGCAGTTATTAGACAATGATGTTCATTATGTTCAGAGTTAAAAGCATGCTTAAAAAATTTAGAAGAGGGGCTGGTGAGATGGCTCAGTGGTCTAAAGCACCTACTTAGAACAAGCTTACCAAAGCACAGGGACCATGGTTCGATCCCCCAGCACCACATGCCAGCCAGCCCCGCCCCCCTGGTGGGCTGAGCTGGCCACACACACACACACACACACACACACACACACAATAAATAAATAAACTTAAAAAAAAAAATTTAGAAGAAAAGTAGAAACCATAAAATGTTACATAAAAGATTTGAAAAAGAAACAAATGGAAATTCCTAAACTGAAAAATCCGGTCAGAATTTAATGCCTGATGGATGGTTTTAACCACAGCGTAGATGTAGTTGAATCTGTATAGCCTTGGAGCTAATAAAATAAATTGGAAGGAAATCAAGAATGATATGTAAAAGCAAAGAGAAAAAGTATACACAGAAGAAAACCAGAAGATAAAGGCATACTGACATATGCCTGGATCCCCAGCACTGTCAGAGATTAAGGCAGGAGAGTCACGGGCTCAGGCCTGGCATAGCAACTTAATGACTTAGACCTTGTCTCAAAAAAACATTATTTAAAAAAAAAAACGAGCTAGACATGGAGCTTAGTGGGAAGGCCTTTGATTTAGTGGGGTTGGGGCAGTGGTTACAGGGATTAAAGTGAAAGGTTCTCTTTGTAGTTTTTGGAGCCACAGAGTGTGATAATTATCTACGTGTGTCAGGTTAAGTAAAAAGCACCCAGCTAAATTGAATCAGCAGGGTTCTGGATTTGGCTGAGTTTTACTGGCCAAAAGGCCCAACCTAGGGTGACCTGTTACCTGAATGGTACAAAGGGGCAACGAGGAAGGCTGCTTCTGTTTCACCAAAGGATCTCAGGTCTTCACCTTTACCTTCTCACTCCGTTTGATGTCGTCTCCTGGCTTCCAGCTCAGACCCTGCAGCCTTCAGTGCAGACCCTTCATCCTTCTGATAAAGACTTCACAGGACACTAAATAGAGGTCCAGGCCTTGGGCTGGATCCTTTGGGTTTCCAGTGTGCAGACAGACCTTCTGCACTCTTCCACATCTGACTCAGTGGGCAGACATTGTAAGCCAATCTTGTAAATTTTTATGTATTTGTATATGTTGCTTTAGGTCTTTTTCTATAGTGAGTATTGATTGATACATAGAAGAGAATAGAAACAAAAAGTATTACTTTTTTTTTTTTTGGTACTGGGGATTGAACTTGGGACCTTGTGCTTGTCAGGCAGGCACTTATTCTGCTGAGCTATATCCCCTCAGCCCAAGTGTTACATATTTGAAGAAATCTTCACAGATAATTTACCAAAAAGTATGAGCAATGTCAAAGATTCAGGAGGCCTAATAAACATAAGACTTTAACTCAATATCACAGACTGAGCACTGTTCAGCTTGTGACTCCTCAGGCTGGGCAGGTGCCAGCACTTCTTGCTGGTGAGAATCCTGTGCCAGGCATCGCACAGCATGGAACACTGTTTTCACAAATCCTTGACCCAGTTTAGTCCCACCATTATACATCATTTAATGTTAATTTCCTCCAGAGTCTTCCAAATATGATACTCAGATTATCTGCCCTCTTAGTACCTCACACTGCAGATTAAATGTCAACATGAGTTTTGGTGGTAGTATTCAAATTATAGCAATGAACAAAAAGAATTCTATACCTAGTGGTATTGTAATGACAGTACACAAAACCAATAATAAAATATTAAAATTAACCAGGAGAAAAGTAAGTTACCTTCAAAATACAGCAGTTGGATTGACAGCTAACTTCTTAACAGCAGCAATGAAAGCTAGATGACAGTAGTAAAACATAATTTTTAACAGAATTCTAAATCCAGTGAAAATACCATTCAAAATCAAATGCAAGAGAAGTGTTTTCAGACTTAAACCTTTACTATAGAAAAATCATAAAGGCTGTTTGTCAAAAGGAAAATGGTGAAAGAGAAAAAAGTAATTTTTTATAAGGTTAAAAAAATATACCACAAACCAAGCATATTAATCATGAGGAAAAAAAATTAAAGTCTTAAGACTCTTGTATTATCTGGAACAACTGTTAGACTTTATTTAATGAATTCATTTTTAAGGTGACTATAATCTTTAGAAATAATTTGTAACTATCAAACTAATAGGATTTATGAAGTTTTCTTTTTTTAAATAACTGAATCAGTACAAACCCAGAGAATAAGAAACATGGAGTAAAAATATGGTATAAAATATAGGAGATTTAAGGGCTGGAGAGATGGCTCAGTGGTCTAAAGCACCTACTTAGAACAAGCTTAGCAAAAGCATCAGGGACCGCGGTTCAATCCCCCAGCACCACATGCCAA